GTGAAATGTGCTATATTTCCTCCTAGCACCAAATCAAATGACTGTCTTGTTCTAGATATTGCAATCTGTTCCTTTCCATGAAGTTAGGACACGACTACATGGCTTTATGATTAACAAAAGACTTTCTAGTATCTTGGCAGATATCATGACAATGTTCTTAAGGTTTGGTCCCCGTGGGTAAAGTTGGCTGTACTTTGGTGGAACTGTCTTCTAACTTTTTTGTTTTAACATTAGTTTTCAACCACAGGGATGAGAAAATTCAAAGGAGCAGGATTGAAACATTTTTTTGAATGCACTTCTTATGTAATGTGGTTTTTGTTTTTTCTGTTAAGTCCATGCATTTTAAAATTTGAATGTTTAAATAAAAAAAAAAATAAAAAAAAAAAATATATATATATATATATATATATATATATATATATATATATATATATATATATATATATATATATATATATATATAAATTTGGTTTTAAGTAGTTTTGAATGACACTTTTCAAGCCATCTAACACAAGCATCATGAACTAAGGATTTCGAATAAACATCCGTTCAAAAATCTACTATTCTATGGCCAACTTACTTGCTATGTGGGTAACTTGCCTCCAGTAGATCCAGACTCTGAGAACCTCATGGCATGGACTACCACCTCTGCCTCAAATCACCCCAACCCTTCCATTTATCCCTCTTCGTGGTTAAGAATGTTCATTTTTATTTAATCCTACTTGCTCTTATCTCTCCACCTTTCCTCACCTCTCACTCCAGGCTATTCCACTCTAAAACTATCCCACATGTGCTCCACCCCACTGTTGGAGCCAAGGGATATTCTAACCTTCATCCGCTGTTTGTTAATCTGGCAGACGATCAGTAAAATCTTCTGGCCCTAGGGATATAGAACTATGATTTGACACACTCGCCATTCATTTTTATCTGTAACATTTGCCTTTAATATTTTTTCTTAATCCTTAAGGGTCCTTTCACACCATACTACACTATACATCACCTCACTGCAACACATCACCTCACTGCAACACATCGAAAATGCATGTGCATTGATGTATTTTTAATATATATTTTCATGCATGTTAAGTTGACAGGTCCATGGAAGGGTTAAAACAACTAAACTTTTTTTTTTTTTTTTTTTCTTTTTTATGACTCACTGTCTCTGTTGGGGACTCTGATATGGATCATAATGTAGGGGAGGGGACTCTGATAGGGACCGTAAAATAAAGGTTACTCTGAAAGAGGTGCAGACATAATTATTTTTGTTTAACCTTTTTTAATGGATCAAATTTTATTTGGATTTTTTTTTTTTTTTTGCTTTGTTTTACTGAAGTATTATTTCTTGTTCTGAATCCTGTTGTGCAGATTACAGAAAAGCTCCAAATAGCTAAGCAGGCATAAAGTTACATAGTTAGTCAGGCTGAAAAAAAACAAAAGTCCATCCAGTTCAACCATTAAAAAAAAAAAAAAAAAAAAAAAAAAAAAACCTTATATACCCACAGTTGATCCAGAGGAAGGCAAAAACCCAGCAAAGCATGATCCAATTTGCTCCTGCAGGGAAAAAAAAATTCCTTCCTGATCCCCCGAGAGGCAATTAGATATTCCCTGGATCAACTTTACCTATAAATGTTAGTATCCAGTTATATTCTGTGTATCTAAGAAAGAATCCAGGCATTTTTAAAAGCAATCCACTGAGCTGACCAGAACAGACACTTGAGGGAGTCTATTCCACATTTTCACAGCTCTCACTGTGACGAAGCCTTTCCGTGTTTGGAGATTACATTTCTTTTCCTCCAGATGTAAAGAGTGCCCCCTTGTCCTCTGTGATGACCTCGGGGTGAATAACGCTACACCAAGTTTACTATATGAACCACTGATGTATTTATACATGTTGATCATATCCCCCCTTAATCTGCTCTTCTCAAGAGCGAATAAATTCAGTTCCTATAATCTTACCTCTATAACTGAGCTCCGCAATGCACCTTTTCAGTTTGGTTGCCCTTCTCTGTACTTTCTTCAGTTCCCCAATGTGTGTGGTGTGTGTGTGTGTGTGGGGTGTTTTTTTTTTTTTTTTTTTTTTTTTTTGTTTTTTTTTTTTTGGGGCCCAAAACTGAACTGCATATTTCAGATGAGGTATTACTAATTTGTACATGGGGTAAAATCTCTTTCTGGAGTCTATACCTCTTTTAATACAAGAGGATTTTGCTTGCTTTAGAAACTGCAGCTTGGCATTGCATGCCATCAATAAGCTTGTGATCTACCAGAACTCCCAGATCCTTTTTGACCATTGATTCCCCTGGTTGCAGTCCCCCTAGTATGTATGATACATACATTTTCTTATCCCCCAAGTGCATAACCTTACATTTATCAGCATTAAACCTAATTTGCCACATAGTTGCCCAATTACACAGTGCATTGAGGTTGGCTTATAAATTGAAGACATCCTGTAAGGACGTTATTCCACTGCATGGTATTGTGTCATCTGCAAAGACTGAAATGGGATTTTTAATCCCAGACCCTATATCATTTATAATTATATTAAAAAGTAAGGGTCCCGACACTGAACCTTGGGGTACACCAATGACAACCCCCTAGACCATTCAGAGTATGAATCAGTAACCACACTACTCCTTTTTGAATACGATCTTTTAACCAGTTTTCTATCCATTTTACATAAGGATTTTTCCAAGCCTGTAGACTTTACCTTACACATTAGCGGTGTGTGGGGAACTGTGTCAAACATTTGTGTGGAACAACGCAGGTCAATGCAAACTGTGTGAAGAAGCCCTAAATGGTTGCTGCAGACGTGGGCAAAGGCCAGGAAATTCCCTAAATTGCGCCTTACTAAGACTAGAAATAGGATCACGCAGACCCTGTTCATGGGAAGATCAAAGCTACCTTGCAATATAGGATTTCTGCATACTCCAAGTTGTGGTGTCCTTGGATTGCATATTTCCTAATGCCAGGCTTTGAGTCTTTATTGGATCCTTGACCTGCTGACATGGAGCCTTGAAATTTTGGTTAACCACCCTTCTGAGGATCATATAGCAGGCCCCTAGGAACCGCTGCCCCTGTTTTTTTCTACCTCCTACTTTTCTCTTTTATTTTGTTTGGTGTTATATTTCTGCTGTTTGCAATACATCAATCTGTAAATTTCAGCTTTGTTGTGTCTACTGGTATTCAGCTTCTGAAACCCTCCAATGATAGTAAGGATTGTAACCAGAAAAAAAAGCTCCAGGTAAAAGCCATTAATTCAAAATGTTGTATTCATTCATTTATAAAACTGATATGCACTATACTGCCAAAAGTATTGGGATGCCTGCCTTTACACGCAGAACTTTCATGGCATCCCAGTCTGAGTCCGTAGGGTTCAAGGTTGAGTTTGCCCTCCCTTTGCAGCTATAACGGCTTCAATTCTTCTGGGAAGGCTGTCCACAAGGTTTGGGAGTGTGTCTATGGGAGTGTTTGACCATTCTTCCAGAAGCGCATTTGTGAGGTCAGGCCCTGATGTCAGACGAGAAGGCCTGGCTCTTGGTTTCCGCTCTAATTCATCCCAAAGATGTTCTATCGGGTTGAGGTCAGGACTCCCTGCAGTCAAGTTCCTCCACTCCAAACTTGCTCATGCATGTCTTTGTGGACCTTGCTTTGAGAACTGGTGTCAGGGCTCCGGCTATGAGCAGATGTATGTGAACTGACACAGGGAAATGCAAGCTTCAGATATGGTATAAATAAGACAATTTATTAAGACTAACAATACAAACATAAACGCAGTGCACCAAACCCCAAGCTAACACAAATACATACAACAAGGTGAAACAAACCCAAACCTAAACTGATAAAGATACACAGGTACATACACATATAGAGCACAACATGATCAGGCAGGCCAGGTCGATAACTATCGGGCAGGTAGGTACAGGAGGAGCAGGCGGAGAGAATGGTCAGGGTCACAAGCCAGGGATCAAACAGGAGAAGTCAGCAGAGGTCAGGATCAGGCAGGGTCGGCAACAAGGCAGGGACAGGAACAGAAATGCAGGTTACAAGGTACAGGGGCCCATGGAAAAACACACACCAAGGCGCAGACTGCAGGTCTGGCCATCCCTTAAATACACCTCCGTAATCAGCTTCAGGTGTTTGGCTGACTGCAGGGTTGAGTCTCTGATTGCTGAGAGCACCCGCTGGCCAGCCCTGGTACTGCAGCCCACAAGGCAGGTGAGTCCCACCATTACTGGCAGGTCCACTCCTGACAACTGGTGCGCAGTCAAACTGTTCCCACAAAGTGGGAAAATTGTCCATAATGGCTTGGTATGCTGAAGCCTTAAGACTTCACTAGAACTAAGGGGTCAAGCCCAACCCCTGAAAAACAACCCCCACACCATAACCCCCCCCCCCCCCCACACACACCAAACTTTACACTTGGCACAATGCAATCTGGCAAGTACCAGTCTCCTGCCAAACTTGGACATGTCCATTGGATTGCCAGACAGAGAAGCATGATTGCTCACTCCAGAGAACACGTCTCCACTTTTCTAGAGTCCAGTGGTTGCTTGCTTTACACCACTGCATACGACTCTTTGCATTGCACTTGGTGATTTAAGGCTTTGATGCAGCTGCTCGGCAATGGAAACCCATTACATGAAGCTCTCTACGCACTGTTGTGCTAATCTGAAGGCCACAAGAAGTTTGGATAACTTTAGCTATTGACAGACAATTGACGACTTTTGCGCACTGTGTGCTTCAGCATGCGCTGACCCTACTCTGTAATTTTACATGGCCTTTGCCATGGCCTTTGCCAAGTTGCCGTTGTTCCTAGTTGACACCACTAACAGTTGACCTTGGAACTTTTAGTAGCAAGGAAATTTCACGGATGGGCTTAATGCACAGGTGGCAACCTATCCTGGTACAATGCTTAGATTCACTGAGCTGCTGAAAGCAGCCCATTCTTTCACAAATTTTTGTAGAAGCAGTCTACATGCCTATGTGCTTGATTTTCTACACATGTGGCCATGGAGGTGATTAGAACACCAAAATCCAATGATTTGGAGGGTTATCCCAATACTTTGGCCAATGTAGTGTATATATTGTGGCCTATAAATTTATACAGTATGCAATGTGGCCCTCATAATCAAAAGTTTGGAGACCCCTTGAAAACCAATTTTTTTCTTTAATTGTGTGAAAATGCATCTTCTGTTAATTCTGCTGTCAGATATGGAGCCCTTTTGCTTGTTGTACTTTAAGCTGGCCAATAAAGGGTATCAGCCAGTTATCTAGGTGTAGATGGGGAAAGACTGTCAGATTGTGGTTCTAGCAGCCATGTAGGACCTGTTACGCCATGTTTATTGGGCAGCCTTTTCTTGTAGAGCCCTGGGGACTGTTTACAATTAGGTCTGTTCACACTACTGTGCTGAATGGCACTATGTGTGATGCTGTACCCCATATCACAATGCTGCTGTGATGACTAGAACCTCATTAAATGTGACCAATGAAACCATGACAAGTTAAACAATGCACATCAGTGGCTTTTTCTTTTTTTTTTTTTAACCAGATTTATTTATTTATTGCAGTACATACATGACTGTGGCAGTCAGCAAAACCTGTGCTGAAGTTTATCACTCCCTCTTTTAACTCAACACAGTGGGCAGAGGGGGTTGTACACATGCCAGGATGCTTTGCTTGGTGGCCACAACAAAAGTGATACCCTGTTAGAAGCTTTCCTTAACCCATATCTAATATTTGCTTATTAACAGTACTAACATGTATGAATGAGTTGGATCTTAATAGAAAAATTGAGTTATTATATTTGTTCTAGATTGGGAAAAGTAAGTAATTAGACTTCATAGTCTGTGAATATACATATGAACATATATCTTGGGTTTTCTTTACATTCAAGCCACACATGTGGTAGCAATTGGTCTATCCATCCTCCCCCATCTATGTAAGAGATTATGTTTCACTAACTAGAGAATTGTAAAAATCTATTTCATACATGTTGGGTTTACAAGATTTATACTGTAATATTTCTTGATTACGATATTTATATATGAGAACTCTTATTAAGATTACGTGTGTGTGTGTGTGTGTGTGTGTGTGTGTGTGTGTGTGTGTGTGTGTGTGTGTGTGTGTGTGTGTGTGTGTGTGTGTGTTTGTGAGATGGTGGGGGCTGGATTGCTCTTTTAAGAGCAGAACAAAGACTTTTTAAGGACACTCTTTGCTAGAAGCCTTGATGCGACGCACCACACATATACATATATACAATCTTATTATCAAGAACTTAACTATATTTTTTGGCCATTATTTAAACATTCTGTATTCCAATATTTTATTTCTAATTTTATGCAACATTATTATTAAATCATCTTTTTGAGTTTATGCAAGAAGTGGAAGGACTTTCTATCTGAACATTTCTCATCAATACAAGTTAATAAAATATCGAGACAATACGATATTTTACAGTGGCGAGCCACCAGTTCGATTCATTTCTGACACTCGATTATTTTTGACTTTTTTTTTCTCTTTCACCTTGATGAGAGGGAAGATGTTTGCAAACTCAGCAAAATATGAAGTCAAGCTTTCAGGAGAAGTAAAAGTCTTCAACAGATGAATCGTCGGCATAATCGAGAACCTAAAAGCAGAATTGGTGACAATTTTGCGCAATTGCAAGAAAACGCTGTTCCTTGGCGATGTAATTTCCCGCCAAGAGAGAAATGGCGCGTTATGTAAAAAAAGACCTTCTTAATTGGTAAGTAATGGATTTTATTGATAAATTATCTAGAGAGAGTAAGTTAGAATTCAAGAATCTGTCTACATTTGTTAAAGATGATGAACTTTGGCGGTACATGTATAATGAGTGCTTACAGGCTAATAAGATAGAAAAATCTAAGTTTTCCTTTAAGAAACTGAGCAAACAAGTTAGAAATGTAATGAAGTTAGTTAATGTTTTTAACGCCATGATTTTTGATGTTCCTAAGACTGCTGCTTGTGTAATGAAGCAAGATCAGAGCAGTGTATGTGCTAATTGCCAGATTTTGACTGAGCAAATAGATCTGCAAAGTGCAATTCAAGCAAAAGACATTCAGCTTTTTGAACTACAGAATGATGTAAAAAGAATTTGTGTGAATACTAAGGCAGAGAAACAAAAATCTTTTGTACTAGAGATCCAGTCTGTAGAAGGAGATCCTGCCAATCAGGAAGAAAAATGTTTAAGAGACAATTAAGGGACAAAGCTGCAGAACTTAATCTTAAAATCCTTGATCAGCTCATGAAAATTTTGAAGGATATGCCAGCCTATGATAAGGAAGCCGATGCTTTCCATAACATGGAGGTTTATGAAAATTTTTGTAATAATTTTTTGTTTAAATCAGGAGCAAAGAAATTTTCTATTCTGTTTATGGCTCCCCAGCGTTATGGCACGTAGATTAATCAAAACGCCATATATTGAGGATGATGAGGAAATGCATAGCAATGCATCAGACCGACTGCGTCAATTATTGATATTTACTACTGGAGAGGAAACTCCTTCTTTGGAAATTTTAGACTCCTTAAGAGCTACGATTAATGATAATCCTTTTGATTTTAAAAATATATTTTCTAAAGTATACAAAATGATATTTAATTTAGACAATGAGACTCCTATGGTAAATGCTTTTGTTAAAAAATTCAAGTATCTTGATCCAGCATCTTTTATTATTGCTACTGGAAAAAATGATTTAGATCAAGCAGCCAAAGTTATAGATACAGTTAGAAGGCAACTTAAATTAAACAATCAGAAGAAGGAAAGTTTAAGTGTTCAAAATGGAGAACAGAGAGAGACCATGTGCTTAGCCACACCCAATTATGATGATGAACACGTCACAGGCAGGACGAGAGTCTCAGAGCAGACAGGAAATACTATTTGTTTCTATTGTAAACTATTTGGTCATTTGAAAAGAGATTGTATTCATTATAAATTAGATTTACAAAGAAAAGCTTTGGAATTAGAAGACCAAAATATAATTTCTGAACAATCTGCTCCTCCTTGTTCCAACAATAGTCTGTCTGAGTTGCCTTATGCCTCAGAAGTTAAAAAGATCAGTTCACTGAGAGTTAACAACAGCTTAAACAATTATGGTAAACAGTGCTGTTGTCATTAATAGGAGTGGTTTATTGCCATTGCCGAAATTTAAATCCGGATCAAATCGAGATTCTTCTTCCTTACCGTTGAATATGTTGCTCCAAATTTATTGGATGAAAGTGGAAGGCCCAAGTCAACATTAATTGATTCTTCCATGTACTGTAATGTTGGAAGTATTTGTACAGCAACTGCTGACATGTCTTCAGATCATAAATGGCCACATACAGGAACCAATCTTGAATTGGGTCAATTGCTTAGATCACATAAAGATCTTTGGAGTCAAAGCAAAATGATGTAGGCTTGCTTAAAAATTTTGAAGTTGACATTGAAGGTAGAGACCCTAAGCCTCATCCTCGATTCGAATGGCAATTTGTATTAATTAATCCAATTTCTTCCATTGTAGATGAGTTTTTTACAGCAAGGAATTTTAAACCGTTTCAATACCGTGCAATTTTACACCTTCCTGCCCAGGCCATTTTTCAGGTTTCAGCGCTCTCACACTTTGAATGACAATTGCGCGGTCATACAACACTGTACCCAAACTAAAATTTTATAATTTTCTTCACACAACTAGAGCTTTCTTTTGTTGGTATTTAATCACCGCTGGGGTTTTTATTTTTTGCTAAATTAACAAAAAAAAAAGACCAAAAATTTGGAAAAAAAACCCACATTTTTCTTTGTTTCTGTTATAAACGTTTACAAATAAATAATTGTTCTTCATAAATTTAGGCCGAGATGTATTCTGCTACATGTCTTTGGTGAAAATAACCCAAATTAGGATGTATTTTTTAGTTTGTAGGAAAGTTATAGAGTTCACAAACTATGGTATAGATCCGAATATTGATCAATCCTGAAGTACTGACGGCCAATCTAATTTCTTGAGGTCCAATAATGTCAGAAAAGTACAGATATCCCGCAAATGACCCCTTTTTGCAGAGTAGACAGTCCAACGTACTTCATAAGAGGCATGGTGAGTTTTTTGAAGTTGTATTTTTTTTGTCATTTTTCGGAAAATTAAAAAAATTATTTTCACTATTTTTTTTTTTTTTTTACATACTGTCACCAGTGCAGTACAGCGTCATCATATAACTGGCATGGCGGTGAACAGGGACACTGACTGGTGACAGTATGGGAAAAAAAAAAAAAAAAAAAAATAATATATATATATATATATATATATATATATATATATATATATATATATATATATATATATATATATATATATATATATATATATATATATATATATAATATTTTTTTTTTTTTTATTTAATTTTTTATTACATTTTTTTTATATTTTTTTTAAGATTTTTTTTTCATAGTTTACTATGACCAAAGTAGTACAATGTTACCATAGTAACATTGTACTACTTTGGGGAACTGATCAGTATTTTTTTTTTTTTTTTTTTTTAACACAATTTGCTTATAGCAAAGAATTACTTTGCTATAAGCAAGCATTTACCTGAATGAAATCGATTCATTCAGTTTTTTTTTTTTTTTTTTTTTTTTTTTTTCTTTGTGCTTAGCTGTGATTTGGTCACAGCTAATCACATGTGCATGTGATTTAGCTGTGATTTGGTCACAGCTAGGCACTAGTATACAATGGATGGCATCATGAATGAAGCCATCCATTGTATACAACTGTCATGTGACCTGCTGTGATTGGTCACAGCAGGTCACATGGTACCAGCAATGGGAGCCGGTACTCGGATCTGTCATCGGCCGTGTCCGAGGTGCACGGCCGGTGACAGATCACGCTGCTGCGCCGCTCTGCATTAGCGCAAACTGCGCATGTGTGGGAGCACGCCAAATGGCGTGCACCCGGAATGCAGGAACACTTTCGAAGCCGCCAAACTGCCATTGGCCGGGCAGCTAATGGTTAAAGAAAGTACAATCAGTGGTGAATAATTGTATTTGGCCTATCAAAGCTAATAATTCATATTCTTTATCAGTTGACTTCAGGACATTGAACAAATGCATCACA